GACGGGCACGATACTGAGCCTGCGTTGGACTACGCCGTTTTGTCGCCTCGTTTGACATGCTTCTGTAGCGAAACAAAACACCACGACAGTAAATTCCGTCAGTACTCGTAGCGGCATCCACGACACCTGGGCGTTGGTGCGAGCACAGCATAATCTTGAGACAACGTCACAACGGTTTTCGTTCCACTTGTACGTCTCGCGCATAATTTCCTAAAGGCTGCAGACCTGACCAAAATAATTCTCGACGAGAACCCGGTCGGAAGACACACGCCCATTTCGTTCCAGCTCTCTGGCTGAGAGGAGTCCACCTTGGGGTCTTCGAGTCGGGTGAATTGCTCGAACCTCACTTCTTAACCCTTGATAGACCATGTCCATAAGGACGCTCCAAGAGTCTGGGTACTCGTCGGAACCTTCGTAATGGTCCACCGTGTCCAATTCGGGCGCAGACTTCCGAAGAATTTCTTGGTGGATATGCCGACGTTGCTTGAAAATGGTCAAATCGGAACTGAGCCTAACGTGTGGTCTGACAAATCGACTGCAACCCCGGGGTAAGCAACGGAGTACTCGAGCTTCAGGCCGTAGAGCTTGTGCTTTCCCGAGAAGTTGTGCTTGGCTTCGTCGAAACGTTAGTCGAAACCGCCGTGGTGACAAGCTGGACGATGCGACAGGCCGCAAGTCAAAATCCTCACCAAAGGATGCATTTTTCATGCTCCTGTCTGTGCTTAAGCACTGCAACGCTTGGGACAAACACGCCCTCGACTTCAACATGAAGGCTCCAGCGTATCATTGACATCGTCGAACCAATTCTCTACGAGCACTATGTAATACCTGTCAACATGACCCGTCAAGTCCAACAAGGAAAGGCTATTGCCGACTTTCCGTCAGCACTGCGTACGGATGTCAAGTTTCAGCCCTCGTATCGACCAACTGGACGCCCAAACTGTTTCGCTCTCGGCCAAAGTAAAGTTCGACATGGTCGTGAGGGCTGCGTTGCCTCATTGACTGAAGAAGCTGTCTATCACTGGCGTGGGCGTATCATCGGCTTCCTCCAGTTGTTGCGAGTGGGCTTGGCATACCGTACTCAACTCGTTGAGGGCGCGGGCGTCGTCATCGACTTGTTGTTGGAGGCGCGTCACGATTGCAATGGTGTCCATGAGTTTGTTCAAGAGTTTTTGATTGTGAGTTACGACGCCGCGCTATCTTTGAATGTGTAGAGGCGTAACATAGCTCAAGTTGTGTAGAGTACGTGAGCTTGTAAATGCGGAATAGGTTTGTCATATTGTTTTTGATTAGGTATATTTTTCATTGACTCAGTCTTTGAGCAGTTGGTCATACTCTTCGTCATTCACTGCGATATTTGGATTTTATCCCATCCAATCGAATTTATTTGATTTTATTCCAGATATGTACTAATATACACTTGAAATCGAAGTCACTGACAAAGACCTCAGTTATTGAACACGAGGTCTATTCATAGACATGTAGTGCTTTAAGACGACAAGAGTGATAAAAAAGGCATCTTTGGGGGTTATCTTGGTCTTTCTGCCCCGGCCGTCGTTCCACCGCGATGACAAGGTGTTTCGATAACGGATCAAATGGTTTCAAATTCATTAGAGCTGAAGTTGGTCAAAACGCGAAAGCCCTCGGGACCGCTGTCTTCAATGGCTTTGTCCATTATTGGGTGTGGGTAGCCGGTTCCTTCCTCGGCTTCGTCGATCTCAAGACCGAACTCAGTGAGGCTCTCTTCAAGGAAGACGGTCGGAGGCGTTCTGAGCGTTCAATCGCTCAAGCAAGGACGTGAAGCTGGTGCGCGCCATGAAGCAGATTGATTTGTGTGTATTCTTAAAGCAATGGAAGGAGACACCTTGTTTGTTTGGTTGGCTGAGACACGCTTATCCCTCTATGTTTGAGTATTTGCATATATACCATGAGTAAAGATCATATTGTTGATCACTTCCAATTTCTCTCGATATATTCGAGGGGAATCGAACTTTATGGTAAACATTTTGTCTTACCCCCATCTGTCTATGTTTGATCAATTTATTCGTCTCTTCCAGTGTATCAAAAGGTATTTCCATCATACTGGTGTTTGTGATTTACCATACTCGAAGGCCTAATACAGTGCTCGCCGTTCAAGATTGGTACACCATGAATTTAGCACGAACAGATCGATGACACCATTTAATGACGTCGCCATTAATGTCAATGAATCTACGAAGACAACAACAAGTCTACAACATTTCCTTTGAAGCAACGAGCTCATACAACACAACGCAGATATTTGTTTGAAAATGTGTACTTTTTTGTTGGCCAAGCAAGTTTGATACAGTGCACAATTTGGTAGTTCAAAGACACAAAAATGAAACGTCATAACCAAAATCCATACTAATTTTTAGTATATTACACCTTGCCTTGAATGACGGCGATGCAACGGTATTTCATGGATGCCAACAGCTTGAGAAGCAGATCATGGTCCAAGGACGCCCACTTACGTAACCTTTCGCATTTTAGCTCGAATCGCCGCCCATTCGCATACACTTTCGGACCAAAAATCCCCAAACGTTTTCAATGGGGTTGAGGTCTGGTGAGAGGGCAGGCCAGGGCAACAAAGGGACACCGAGGTCAGCCAAGAAGGCCTTGGTCTCGCGGCTGGTGTGTATGCTGGCGTTATCTTGTTGAAAAACGAATCCATCCGGGATTTCGTGCCATGGCGCGAAGCGGACATCGCAAGGCGACAGGACGCCCAAGTGTAAAGCAAGTAGCTCGAAAAGCACCAGAGTGCAAGGTACCTAGGCTACCGGGAACGCGGGCCTTTTGACAACGCAACCCCATAGCGGCCGACTTCCGTACAGTAATGCCAATTCACACTCACGACGACAG